TTGATTCAGATGATTAGGTTAATAAATCGTTTAGAGAACCTTTTCATGATATGCTAATTTTTTGAGATAGGGATTTTTGGTTTTTCTTTACTTTTTTTGTCAATCATCAATATTAAAACCATAAAAGGCTTCAACTACTTCAGTTGGTGTGCAATGAATCTAAAATACATGAAAGTTTAATGTTTATCAGTACATAGAAAATAATGAACTTTATCACAATATGCTAATTTTTTGAGAACCTGTAATTTCTGTTCTGTGAACCATCAGTGCTTGGCTGATGTTCAGACGTTCATAATAATAAATTGGTGTGTTATTTTCACACACGTTCCTGAGTTTGCACGCTTGTTTCTGTTTAGAGCCGACTTTCCCGCTCTGGTAGTGAAGGCCAGTGGTTTGGCGGCGGGGAAGGGGGTCATCGTGGCGAGGGATCAGAACGAGGCCTGTCAGGCTGTGATGGACATCATGAAGGTATGAGACACCTGAACGTTTCTTCTGTTGAGCTGAAAAGTCTTCATCCTGATTTTGATGAGAGGAGAGAAAAAATGATGTCCATAGTTTGTCTTTGTGGTCCTCGTACTCTGGTTTATGTCTGTGTTTCAGGTGATTAAAGTTTGTAGTGTCAGRGTTAGCAATATCTGCTCTGCACCGTCTTTCACTACTGGGCTCACATGGACGCCTGATAGTGAGAGTGTGCTGTACAAAAAATATGTCATCATTTTGGCAATAAATATTCATTGTTGACAGTTTTACTGATGACTAATTGCACACAGTATGATTTTACTATCAGCATGCATTTGTCCTTAAGAATTACTGAGAAAAAATTATGCTTCTTTAGGTGAGATTGAAGTGTTGAATTCATTGCTCATCTGCTTAGATCTGAAAATTTAAACATGCCTTTCTGTATAATGACCAAGCTAAATTAAGGGCTTAAGATATGTCTTTTGATTAGAAAGAACACAACCATTATACACCTAAAACCTTTCTTGAGCAATTCGTACCTATCCAGTTTGGAGTTTTTAATGATAACTTGGAGTAAATCATCTTTACGTTCACCAGGCAGGAAGAAATGACCCAAACCTGTAGAGTTAKACAAGACAGCAGGAGTGTGAACTGCCCATCCTGCACATCAACATGTCTGACTTTATGCAGAAGCTAACATCACCAGTGCAAACTCTTGTTGACTGTATCCCAAATGTGAATTTATCTTTTTTACCATATGTGATTTTTGTTTTTATGACAGTCTGAATGTGACAAATCTGTTCCATTCCATCCACATCTAACCCAGGTCTTTTTCTCATGCTTCTAAATCAGATTCATATTAGAAGTTTTTCTAAACAACTGCAGTTTGAATAGACGGGTTATATTTTGTCACTGAGGTAGGAGTAAATAGATCAGTCCAGATATTGAAATTCTTATTAGGACCCTGCACATCTTCAGCTACAGAACAGAAGTCCAGTTGCTTCATCATTTTGAAACGTGATACTAACAGTGGTAGCTCAACCTGTTGGATTGTATTGATATATTTTGTTTAGACTTTCAGAAAAAGTCAAAAATGTAAACACTGCATGAAATAGCAGATAAGAATGTAGTCGCCCTGACTGCACAACAATTTGAGAATCGATGTACACTCATAATGCAGCTCTAATGCTGTAGAATAACAGAACCTGAACTGAGAAGTTCTGATAAAAATCTATGCCTGTTCTGAATGAACACAATTTAARAGACAAGACTTCTAACCTCTGTGACAAAGAAACGTTTGGAGACATGTGACTCCCTCACAGATGCAGTTCACCAGTCACTCTCTAGCTGTCGCACTCCAGTGAGATACTGGATTTTGGCTCCAAAAGCATCTCTGACCTGTTCAGTCCATTAAACCTCTGAAGGTTTGCTGTAGTATTTGACACCAAGCAGATCAGTAGTAGGGCCCTATAAAATCAGTTTTTATTTTTCCCGAAATTCTATTTTTTTTTTTTCATTTAAATTTTTCTAAATTGCACGTTTTCCATTTTTCCCCTGAATTCCACATTTTCATTGTAACCATATTTATTAACCTAAAAAG